TTGTGGAATAGCTTCGTTTTGACTCTAAACCTGCTCATTAGTTCATGGGTACGCAGCTTCCTAATGCTTTTTTTATTGGTTAAGGGTATTGTATTAAACCTTATCAAAAAAGGGTATTGTATTAAAAAAAATAAAAAAAAAGCAAAACCGCTGGCAAGTATTTACAGAGGAAAGTCTCATTACAAGTTGTGTAATGAACTCAAAAAGTCAACCGTGGCTTCTGTATACTTCCTAATGCTTTTTAGTACTTCAGTAGCTGGAAAAGTGTTAATTTTTTTGGCCTTAGGTACCTTGTAAAAGGAAGTATTAGTGGAAGTCTGGAATATTGTACTTTTGGCAATACTTTACTACTATTGTTGGTTTGGCCAAAACTAAATTGCTCGTAACCATAATCCCAGTCCTCAGGCTTTGGTTCAACAACCAAGGTAGTACAAATGCGGGATGTGTGATAGGCACACATCACGAGTTTGAATCTTGACTGGTGACCAAATTTGGTATTTTAAGTGAGGAGGTTAGAGGGGGAGGCTTCTTATACCGTGTTCCAAAGCAACAACTAATTTCTGGAATATTGTAAGAAAAAGGATTTTTGAGAATCCCCAGGTCAATGTTGTAAGTTCTTCATCTCTGTTACAGTGTTACCAAGTACAAATCCTTTCACTTCCCAGTTCCCACTCTCCATTCTTGATATATTCTTTTCTGGAGAAAGGTTAAGACTTCTACTAAATAAAATGGCCATGCATTGAGCTAGTGCTTGCCTGGCATTCCTGTTTACAAAAACAAAAGAGAAGAAAACTCACAGTAACAAAATACTCCTGTTGTTAGCTTATGAAATCTATCATGCTATCGTTATCATATACAACCTGAAACTTACACAATAGAGCCAGCAGGCCTAAACATCTATATTTCACCATCTGCACAGGGCTTTCTTTGCCTCAAAACATCTAGAATTTCTTTCCGTCTATAGGACCTATTGAAGTGTGTGACTATCTCATCTAAAAGTTTAAGTTGCTGGAGAGAGTACACTTTGTTGAGAATACAATTAAATTATGAAAGTGGTGTTTTCTTAATAGCTTCTCAAATGCCAATCAAATAGCTTGAGATGTAAAAACTTCGCTCTGTCAGATTCACATAGAAAGTCAGCATATATAACTCTAAGAGGGGTGTGGCCTATCAAAGAATCCTGTCAAAATTTTGTTCTGTCATCCTCCCTTTGATTTCCATGTGTGTTTCAATGGTTTGGCCATAGACGTTAATGTATTATCAAAGTCACGAACCATGGTGGAAGAGTTGATTGGATTAGTACACCATTCCATTTGACCCATATATATATATAATATATATACACACACACTACTGGCCACTATGCTGCAAACTGTTTATTATCCTATTAAATACTGTTTTTTTGGTGCTTGAAAGATCAATGTTTGATCCCTGAGGTCTGCCACTATTTTGCAAGATTGTTTCTGCTTTAATTTCATTGTCTATAAACTAAATGTTTGATGTTTCTCTTTCTGAGGCTAGAAGATGTCAAAAGTTTGTAACAATCAAGAAATGTTAGCAGTTTGAGCTTTTAACTATTAAATGTAATTTTTTACTATTGTATCAAATTCTTCTTATAACTTCTCTTGTGTCTGATGACCATTCTTTGTGTGGTTTTCAGTTATATTGACTATCTGTTCTGGGTGATTACGTTGATCGAGGACAGCACAGCTTGGAGACAATCACTTTACTCCTAGCTCTAAGGTAATCCTTGCTGTTGTCTAACACGTATTCCCTTTCATGTATTGACATCTCTTTATGTAACCAAATTACTCGCTTGTTCTGAATTTCAGATTGGAATATCCAGAGAATGTACATTTGATAAGGGGGAATCATGAAGCTGCTGATATTAATGCACTTTTTGGCTTCCGTATTGAATGCATTGAGAGAATGGTAAGTTATAATGTCAAAATATATGTACTACAGTTGTCAATCCCGAGTTCTAGTTTTGAAGGTAGAAGTTATATATATATGTGTGTGTGTGTGTCCTTCAAATGTATCGGGCTATTCTGATGGAAGACACCCATGTAGGGAGAAAGTGATGGAATCTGGGCATGGACACGTTTCAATCAACTTTTTAACTATCTTCCACTGGCTGCCCTCATCGAAAAGAAAATCATCTGCATGCATGGTGGCATAGGGAGGTCAATAAATTCAGTTGAGCAGATAGAGAAGATAGAGAGGCCAATAACAATGGATGCTGGTTCGATAGTTCCTAATGGATTTGCTATGGTATGTTGCTTTTTTTTTTTCTTTTCCAAAACCATCTGGCAAGACTATTTGGAGAAGATTTTTATGTTATTGATTTTATTTGCAGGTCTGATCCCACAGAAAATGACAGTGTAGAAGGATTGAGACCTAATGCTAGAGGACCTGGTCTTGTAACATTTGGGGTATGTCCTGCTTTTCTGATAGAAGTTCACCAGTTCAACTTGGTAATTGATAGTAAAAGTTTCAGACGATAAGGGAATCATTTTTGAATGCCAAATTTCTTATTTTGTGTTTGAATCTTTATGCTCCACTGAAATTTTTCTTATTTTAAGCTCAATTTTTATTCATTATCGTGATTTGATCCCCACTATACTGTGGATTCCTATAAGGATGCACATGTCTACCTTCATATGGAAGCTTATATTTTTCATGTCAAGATTCACATACAAACTACAATGTGGTCTTACAATAATTGTGGACTTTGCAGCCTGATCGTGTAACTGAATTCTGCAAGAAAAACAAACTACAGCTGATTATTAGAGCGCACGAGTGTGTCATGGATGGATTTGAAAGATTTGCCCAGGGGCAGCTGATCACTCTTTTTTCTGCCACCAAACTATTGTGGTATGCATTAAATATTTAAGTTTTTACTTTCCCTTGTATGTATGAAAGTATGCATTCTAGTCATTTCTAACCAAGAAAGTACATTCAGGAACTGCCAACAATGCTGGTGCTATACTAGTAGTAGGCAGAGGGTTGGTTATTGTTCCAAAGTTGATCCATCCTTTGCCGCCTCCTCTTCTATCCCCTGAAACGTCTCCAGAACGAGTCATGGATGACAATTGGATGCAGGTACTAGGATGCTTTCTTTTTTCCTATTCGAGCTTACAGTTGTTACATTATATCCTACTAAGACGTGTTCGTTGTATTTAGGAACTCAACATTCAAAGACCGCCTACTCCTACTAGGGGCCGTCCACAACCAGATCATGACCGGAGCTCACTTGCCTATATTTGATGCCCGGTCATTTATTCTGGATATTTCAAATTGCTCTGTTGTGGAGTCGCAAATACCATTGCCGATGCATTCATAAATTGATTAAAAATGCAGCAGATTGTCCATGTATACTCCGTAGTTTTCAAAAGCCTGGTGTATTCTATAGATGCCATTCAGAAGGCATCCAACATTGTAAAATAGCTGGAGAGGTAGAGGTTTAGCTGTTAAAGAGTGAAAAGTTGATTATAGATTAGTATTAATGCTGCTTAAAAAGGGTTATTTATAGTGAAAGGGAAGTATTGTTAGCAGAGTGCTAGGTGTTCTGATGTAAAAAACTAGAGATATCTTATTCTTAAACTTGATCGTTAGTGTGGTTTCTCTATATAATAACGTCTTCAAATAATTTTTGGTGATGTTTGAGAAGTCATCTACGTTGATGTGTCATGTAGCAAGCCTTTAAGGTTGAAATATTTGGGTTTCAATCATAAGAAAGTATCCTACACTAACAGCCTGAAGAATACAGTGCATTGCGTGCTTGGTACCACGACCAGCAATTCAAACCAGAGTAAAAGAAATAAATAAATAAACACTGGTTTTGTAAGGTCAAATTATGTGACAAAATCATCCCATTTTTGTAATTTACTATGGTAAGTTATACAAGATGTTGCATGAGAACAGTAAATAGTAATCTTGTACATCCTAAACCTCCACAATGTACAGGGAGCAAATGACTGAGACTAGTCTTTCAGAATCTAGGTGTGCTTCCTGCAGAAGATCATCAAGGCCTGCATCATGTAGTACGGGGACTATACCGAGAAATCTAACGGCCCCAACAAGACACACCAGGATAGTAACACCTTTAAGTTAGTACTGGGTAGTTTTCCAGATCAAGCATCAGATATAATGGCCTGCACAGTGACAGCATGGGGAGGATATAGTGCTAGACCCTCCAGAATCTTCATAGACCCGCCCAACTAGTAAACCTCGAATTTTCCTCAGGAACTATCAATCTGTACTGATACCACAAGGTTTTACTAGCTGAAGAATCATATAGACAATTAAAACAAAATCTAAGGAGAAACACACTCCCAGCTTTCGTTTTTTCGATGTACCTGGAACATGAACCTAGTGTGTAAACACTGTAATGGGTGTCCGCTTTAATAATCTATACACAATCAAACAAAGTTTTGGCAAGAAGTTTCAAGAGGCAACAGAGAAAGAGTTGAGTAATTCTTACCCAGAACTGAGGTACTTTTGATTCACCGAGCAGGCAACACAAATAGTTTGCTGGACTGCCACAAGACTCGCATGAAACCAAATTTTCTTTCAGCCTGATCAAATGATGTTCCAGTTAATTCTGATGGGTAAGGAAGCTTAGCAGACCTCTCAACCTTGAGATCAATAACATCCACGACGCAGGTCCCTAGCTCCTCCAGGTCCCTTTGATACCACTTGCCACTGACTTGACATACCTTTCCTCTTCCAATCTCTTCTGCTTTCTCGTTTATAAGCACAACGTAATCCCCTGCGACACACTTTGCCTGTTCTGATGAAGCTGCAGGCACAGCAGTTGTGTTTTCTGTAAGACAAGTGCTGCTCGGTGCCAGGCCAGTTAGCCTCGGTGCATTTTCTCTAGCAGCAGAGAGGATACCAACATCCTCGACAGGACTTCCAGGTGAGTCAGAAGGAAGCAGAGTGAGCAACCCACCTTGTTTGTCAAGACTATCCCCTTCAGACAACATACGCCCATCCTTCGCAGCACGAGCTAACCTTGCTTTCCGATTGTTTAGCCTGTGTGTTCAAAATGGAAATGATTATCCAGCATGAAGACAAGATAAGAGACATACCTCATTAAATCAGATTGAAACCTATTTGTATGTCTTCTTTCCTTTTGTTCTCTCTCGGAGAATAAGTGACTTATTTGTGCATTTTCTCAATAGATGGCACACTTATTAGATAGGAGTACATGCAGCAAAATAAAGTTGCAGTTCGATACACCAGTAGAACTCTGATAGACTCTTAGATAATTTTGTTGACTCAGCATGCCATTGGACTGACATCTATCTTTCACAAGGTAATAGGATGTGTAACAGTAACTTGGGTATTCATGGATGCTGGCACTCATCGTGGGAAAGCAGTATACAGGTGTAAAAACTAAAAAGAATAAATAATTTAGCCTCGTAATAAACATATTTAGACCCACACCATTCTGACAGTAGAATAGATCTAGATAAACTATTTAACGGTGTTAAGAAAATAAAAGAAATATCACCCTTACCATTCTTGAGCTGTGATTTTGTAACCTCTGATCCCTGGAAATAAAGCAGGAACATATTAGGGAGGAAAGACTAATTAATTGACAGAAAAGAGCAGAAACAAAAACAAGCGCATGGGCCTTGTGACATACATGATCACTTAATTTTACAGCCCACTTTTCTAATAAGGTTTTATTTCGCTGCATATCAGGCTCCCCCATAAGGGCCTTCTCAACAAGTGATATCTGCGTATCATTCATTATGGTTCGCTTCCGTTTCCTTTGTTGCTTCTCTTCATGCTGAGCTTCAACTGTTTCGTCCTCTCTAACCTCTCCAGGACCATTGCAATTTATTTGCCCAACTTTCCCAACTTGATCTGTTGGGTGCCTACTTCGCGTGGAGCTGGAATCGGACCCACTTGTTTCCACATTCTGAGTCTCAATATCCTTCATCTCTATAGATGTAGCTATAAATCTTTCGTGTTCTGTCATTTCACCTTTTGTCCCAGCCTCACCTGATTGACCTTCGTCATTGAACCTGGAATTGAGTTGGTTCAATCTTTGCAGAGATGAGTTATCCAGTATGTCCTCTCTAGAGTTTGCACTTCTGTTGTTAAGATCCAGAGATACTTCCCTGAGTTGAGGGGGCAAGTATCCCCCCAGGTTCTGAGCCTCCTGGAGAAAACGAAAATATTAATTCCTTCCTATAAATCAAATTTAAGCCAATTAAAGAATGAAAACAAAAGCCCACTAGAATAAATTGGTAAAATAAACTTCAAGCCATCATTATGTCCATTTTTTTCTTTTTGACATAGGTAACTGTTTCTATTTCTGTAACACAGTACATGGGGTAGTACATGGGTTGTACTGAAACCATATTTACAAAAGAACTCAAAATCTACTATCCTATCCTTATAATGAGTCTAAGACATCAATGATAGAGACAATATCATTAGAGTATATCTGGTTACACCAAAAACATAAAGTCAAAATACAATTCATTTTGACTTGTTCTATAGTATTCTCCATATTCTCAAAGACTCTAAGGTTCCTCTCCTTCCATATTGTCTACCATGTAGCTGCAGTGTTAGTTGCTATGTTTTAGGACTGCAGCCTTTTATTTATTTACTGCAGTAAATTAGCTTTAGTTTTCCTCAAAAAACTTCTTTACCTAGTCTCTAGGAGTTTGTTTATCTTCAGCAGATGTGTTGCTGATTTTTAGGACCATGAAGTTAGTTCTTTATTATAAGTGTAGTCTTAGGAGTGAGAAAAGACTGCATTATCAAATAAAGTTATCTCTTCTTTCTTGTTCTTCATTGCTTTATAGTTCTAATCTTTCATTATTCTTAAGTTCTCCTTTGTTCTTTTTCTGGGTTTCCACCTTAATTAACTACAATTGGTATCAGAGCTTTTTATTCTTGAGGGACTTGTGTGTGTTCATTAATCTGTTTTAGTGAATTCCATGGACGGAGAAGCAAGTTTTTCTTCAATGGCACCACTAGCTTTCAATGGAGAAAGTTATCAGATCTGGGCAGTTAGAATGCAGACATATCTAGAAGCTTTGGATCTCTGGGAAGCTGTAGAAGATGATTACGAGATGGTTCCCTTACCAAACAATCCCACAATCTCGCAGATTAAAAATCACAAGGAAAGGAAAACCAAGAAATCAAAGGCAAAGTCATGCTTGTATACAGCAGTTTCATCCACCATCTTTACTCGTATTATGTCCCTGAAGTCAGCAAAAGAGGTATGGGATTATCTCAAGACCGAGTATGAAGGAGATGAAAGAATTCAAGGGATGCAAGTGCTAAATTTAGTACGTGAGTTTGAGCTGCAAAGGATGAAGGAAAGTGAAACCATAAAGGAGTATTCTGACCGACTTCTTAATATAGCAAATCGAGACAGATTGTTGGGTTCCACTTTTAACGATTCAAGGATTGTTGAGAAAATCCTTGTAACAGTACCTGAAAGACTTGAGGCTACTGTTACAACCTTAGAAAATACTAAGGACTTGTCCAAAATTACACTAGCGGAGCTCTGAAGTGCTTTTCAAGCACAAGAGCAACGACGTGTAATGAGACAGGAAGGAGTTGTTGAAGGAGCCCTATTAGTTAAACATCAAGATGATGGAAGAAACAAGAAGAAACAGAACAAGAAGTGAGAATTTTGCTAAAAGCAAGAAGGCTAGCTATCCTCCTTGTCGGCATTGTGAAAAAAAAGGTCACCCTCCTTTCAAATGTTGGAGGAGACCTGATGCAAAATGCAGCAAGTGCAATCAACAGGGTCATGAAGTTGTAATTTGTAAAGCCAAAATTCAGCAGCCTGAAGTTGAAGCTCAAGTTGTTGATCGAGAAGATCACCTTTTTGTTGCAACTTGTTTCACAAGCCTAGATTCAAGTGAAAGTTGGTTAATTGATAGTGGTTGCTCTAACCACATGACATCTGATAAGATGTTCAAAGAATTGTGGAACACCGAGACAAAGAAAGTTAGAATTGGAAATGATGAGTGTCTTGCTGTGAAAGGCAAGGGCGCCATAGCCATTACCAGTGGCTCTAGAACTAAGCTTATCGCAAATGTTTTGTATGTTCCAGACCTTGATCGAAACCTTCTCAGTGTTGGTCAATTAATGGAGAATGGATTCAATCTGTTCTTCAAAAACAAAACTTGTGTGATAGAAGATCCATCAGGCGATGAGATATTCAAGGTCAAAATGGAGGGGAGGTGTTTCCCGCTCAATCCTTTGGAAGAAGAGCAGACAGCTTTTCTTATGACAGACAACTCTACAGAAGTTTGGCATAAAAGAATGGGTCATTTTCATCATCAAGGTATGATGTTCTTGCAAAGAAAGGAACTTGTGACTGATCTACCAAGATTGCAGAATCGGTGGACAGATTGCCAAGCTTGTTTAATTGGAAAGATGAACAGGCTGCCCTTTCCCAAAACAACTTGGAGAGCATCAAAAAAGCTTCAGCTCACTCATACAGACCTGTGTGGACCTCATAGAACACCAACTTTAAATGGTAGTCTTTACTACATTGTATTTATTGATGATCTAACAAGACTGACCTGGATTTTTTTCTTAAAATTCAAGTCTGAGGTAGCTGATGTGTTTTGGAATTTTAAGGCAAAAGTGGAAAATCAAAGTGGCTGCAAAATTCAGACTTTAAGGTCTGATAATGGGAAGGAGTACACTTCAAATCAGTTCAAATTACTCTGTGACAAAGCTGGTATAGAACATCAGCTAACAGTCCCTTATACTCCACAACAAAATGGAGTTAGTGAGCGGAAAAACAGAACTATAATGGAGATGACTAGGTGCATGCTACATGAGAAACATCTACCAAAAAGGTTCTGGGCGGAGGCTGCCAGCACTGCTGTTTTTTTTTGCAAAACAGACTTCTAGATTCTAGATCTGTAAAGGATAAAACACCATATGAAGAATGGTATGGTCATAAACCCTCATTGCAATTTCTCAGAAATTTTGGCTGCTTGTGTTTCTCTTATATACCACAGGTTAAAAGAGATAAGCTTGACAAGAAGGCAGTTCCTAGCATCTTTATAGGCTACAGTGTTTTCTCCAAAGCATATAAGGTCTATGAACCTCAACCAGAGAAAATTGTCGTAAGTAGAGATGTCCACTTCATTGAGGACTAGCACTGGAACTGGGAGAAGCCTGAAAACAATCCACCAGTTGACAGTCTATTAGATCCAAAAGATATAGTAGATGATCCTCCTGTTAGAGGCACGCGGTTGATCTCTGATATCTATCAGAGATGCAATACTGCAATTTGTGAGCCCGCAAGCTATGAGGAAGCAGAAGGGGATGACAAATGGGTGGCAGCAATGAAGGAGGAGATGATGATGATCGAAAAAAATCAGACCTGGGTGCTTGTTGAGAAACCTCTAGACAGAAAGATCATTGGTGTAAAATGGGTCTTCAGGACAAAGCTAAATGCTAATGGTTCCATTAACAAACACAAAGCGAGGCTTGTAGTGAAAGGTTACGCTCAGATCTTTGGAGTAGACTACTCAGAAATTTTCGCACCAGTTGCTCGACTTGACACAATCAGATTGCTACTAGCCATTGCAGCGGCAAAAGGTTGGAGAGTTTATCAACTTGATGTTAAGTCGGCCTTTCTCAATGGTCTTCTCTAGGAGGAGATTTATGTGTAGCAACCAGATGGCTTTGTTGTCAAGGGGCAAGAAAATAAGGTTTATTTGCTAAAGAAAGCTCTCTATGGTTTAAAGCAAGCACCAAGAGCTTGGTATAGCAAGATTGACGATCATTTGCTCAGTTTAGGCTTCAAGAAGAGCCTATCTGAGTCTACATTTTATATAAGTGTTCAGGTGCAGACATACTTACTATTTCTTTGTATGTTGACGATCTCTTTGTCACAGGAAGTAAGGTTTGCCTAATTGAGGACTTCAAGTTGGAAATGATGAAGGTCTTTGAAATGACAGACCTTGGACTGATGGCGTACTTTCTTGGAGTGGAGATCAAACAAAATGAAGACAATGTGTTCATTTGCCAGAAAAAATATGCTCAAGAAATCCTAAAGAAGTTTCATATGG